GCCACGTCGCGGGAGAAGTCTTTACCCCTTTGGGAGACTTGAGCAACTTCTGTTCAAAATGCAGATGCCTCAAATGGTTCAAACTTGTTGTTGACTCACCGCTTCACAGTACTTGACCTTTACAGCCAAATATTTCACCGGCAATCGAATGCCCATAGAGTAGCATATTAACGATTAATGTCTCAGTTATTATTATTGGTCAAATTTGATCGTTTTTTTTCCTCGAGACCTCCCTGACCTTGGTCAGCTACAGTCATGATCGAATTCAGGTCCTTCTCCGGCGGGTTGATGATGCTATCCTTCATGTTGGCTTAAATTTAGTTCCTGTTTCAACGACAACAACTGTTTTCCTGTACGTACAAAACGCGTAGGACTGGTACAGTTTTTTTTTTGGAGAAGTGTGTGGAAGAATATTTTCTGCCTTTTAGTTTTTGATTTTTGATTTTTGAGTTTTATAGCAACTCTGAATTGCAGTCCTTCTTCTACTTCCTCTTGGGTGAGATTTGACGCATTTTCCGAAGGCATTGGAAGGTATGGGGGAGAAAATGGCAGGAGTTTCGTGTTGGTCTTCTAGGATTTTGTTACTTTGATGATTTCGGCCAAGTCAATTTTGGCGCCAATGCTGGGTACAAGTCCCTAGTCAAAGGAGTCGGTCTATAACAAGGTCTACAGTCATTCCGCCGTAGGAGCCATCCAATATTGCATAGAGCTATCAAGGCGGGCGTGTGGCCGGCTGGCAGCATTTGGGAGAGTCTTATCTGCTGGTTTTCGTTCCCCCATAATCTAGTGGTCCAGTTCAGGGGATCCCTGGTTTTACTTTGGGGTTGAATCAAAACTATACAAAAGGAGTCGAAAGTGGGCAAAATTTGAAGCTATACAAGGTCGATCTGAAAGCAGGCAAAATAAATATTGAAATTTGAAAGTATACAAGGTCGATCTGAAAGTAGGCATAATACAAATATCCAAATCTGAAACTACAGTATACAAATTTCGATCTGAACTACAGTAGGCAAATTGCTGCGACGAGGAGAACTAGCCAAAGGCGCGAAGGATCTTAGTTGAAGCTGTGAAGAAAGGTGCTATTAAAGTTGATGACAACAATAAGCTTTGGGTTCACGGCCACGACAGCTCTGCAATCATTTCCTTGCATCCAGAATATTCATAGTATCTGCTAGATAAATTTGAAGATGACTATTGGTGTTGGGATATGACGAAATATGAGTTTTTACGTTCCAAGAAAAACTATTCAAGTGCAAAGTTTTTACACGCACAATCGGATTTTGATCGTGATGTCAGGATTTGACGCAAGTCTTCCGGACAATCTATATCCACATGAAATGGGAGTGACCCAATACAAGTGGCATATCAATGTTGTGTACGATACAGCAGGGAATAATACAAGATGTCCCAAAGTACTAGTGGAATATCGATGTTGTGTATGATACAGTAGGGAATAATACAAGATGTCCCAAAGTACTGTATTTGACACAAAATCCCCGTAGAAGTGGAATCGAGTTCTGTAAACAAGGGATTTTCCAAGGGAAAATCGTTGAACTCACTTTTGTGATTGAATCCTCAATTCAAGCCAAACATTAATCAAATAGGAACAAGTTCACTCAAAGTATACCTAACACAGGAGAACTATTGTCGTGAAAGTGTTGTACAGTCGATTACAAATTTAGATTGCAGAGAGTTTGTTCTGAGCGCTAAAGGCACTCACGATAGAGCACATTTTGCTTTATTCTAACATTCAATCACAAAAGGCAACAAAACAAATTTACGTGAAGAACAGCACTGCCTTATCTACAAAGGAGTGAGTGATTCGTTGACTATGGGACGTTCTTCTTCCGGTGGTGGAAAAGGACGTGTGACTCCTCAGAAAGTCAAGATCAATTTGAGTTCAACAGTTGTGAAACATCTATTTTCAACAAAAGATGAAAACGATGGAAAGGCAAGATTGTCGTACAAAGATGCCGAAGAAAGAGTGATTGACTACATCCAAGCTTCTGGAATGAAATGCTCCGAAGACATGGTGAAATCAATTCGAGATGGAAAGTCAATTGACTTTGATTCAATTGCACCAAAGTTGGATGCTCCAGTTCAAACGGAAGTTGTTGTAAGGGAAACAGAGATGACTCAAAACAAGATTCTCTATTCTGCAAAACTAACCAATCATATGAACAGAGCAGCGTATTTCAAAACGAACAAGCGAACTGTTAAGTCAAACATCATGCTTAAGTTTGTGACAAAAGAGATGGATATCAAGCTTTGAGGTGAAGCCGATTTCACAACTACTCTTGAAGATCCAATTGAACTCTTGAAACGTATTGAACAATTCATGAAGAAGAGTGCTGATGCTGAGTATGACTTCTTGGATTTCTGGGAAGCCAATCAAAAGTTCTTTGCTATGAAGCAAGGAACAACCAAAAACTTGATGCATTTCAAGGAACGATTCTTGAGACAGGCTGAAGTCCTGCAAGATCTATATGGCGATGCCTGGTTCCGAAATTTTGCAGTCAAGACCAAGTTGTATGCTGCTATGATGGACATCTTCATCGACGCCTTGGTCGACCAAGAGGAATTGCTGTGGCTCAACTGGTGCCGCAAATGCATCCAAGTCACCACCCTCTCGGAACTCACCACCGCCGACGGTTGTTCCCTGACGGCAGCTTCTCTTGTCGGCCAACCCTCTGGACACTTTGTGACCAGCGACAACTGGCCCCAAACCCGACGCCCTGGCCCCTCTCATTGGGACCTATGGCGACGCGTCCTCTCCCAAGCCGTTCTCCGCCCCTACAGCCGCCGTCGCTGATTGTTGCAGCCCCTCAGACCGTGATCTGATTCGCTGGACCGATGGACCTGGCGCCTCTCTCGCACCTCTTCAATCCTCTTCCATTGGACGGCCCCCAACTTGTCAATCTACCAACCCATCAACTCGCGTTCTCATAAGACCTTCCGCAGGGATCTTCACACACACCTGGACGGGACCCCTTTCCGGGGACGTCCAAAGGGCATCAGTCAACCTTCACCCACGGACATCCTACGTAACTGTCAAGGGCATCAGTCAACCTTCACCCACGGACATCCTACGTAACTGTCACGGGCACAGCACCGGTAGATCCACCAGATCCGGAGTCCTTGCCGGCCTCGATCCTTCACATCTGGAGGGAATTGCAGCTGACATGGACGACGATTGGGGATGGGTCCCGGAATACCTCTACATTGAGGGTGATATATTCCGAAAAAACAAATACAAAAACAACACGCATATCCGGGTCCTCAAAACATCACTTTCGGTACTTCGCCTTCACGATTTTTCTGTAGCGAAACGAAACTCACTCCTCCTTTTTGCATCAAAACTGACAATGGGAAAGTCGAAGAATAACAAGAAAGTGGCAATCGCTGCTAAAGCTGTTAATTCTACTGCTCTTACTCAGGGTCGCATCAGTTTTTTGCAAAAAAGCCGAGTCGAAACCGCCAAAATTCGATCAAAAAAGGAATCTGACGATTTGGACCCTCCGATCCACAACAACAACAGCGACATCAATATGGAAGAGGTCGAGCATCCACTGAAGTACGATCGCATCGTTCCGAACATCGATTCGTCTCAGTGGAACCTGCAGACCCTTGCCTATTTATGCACAATTCACCGTGCTTGTGGTCAACGCAACAATAAAAAAGAAGTGGTCTTTGGAAATGAGCTGTTCTTGGCATGGGAGAACGAGCCCGATTTCCACTGGCCTTGGTGTGAAGGGTACTTGGAAAACTTCGTCGATCCTCCGGCGACTGAATCCTGGGAGGCGGCTGCCGAAAAACTCCTACAGATTTGTGATGGGGACTGGAACTTGGTCGAGCAACGCATTCGAGCGGCTCTCGACCAAGACATCAAGGACGAATTTATTGGGAACGATCGTGAGCTAGTGGTATATGTAAGAGGATTAATTCTCGGTCTGGCGGTCCAGGATCCTTTGGTGATTTTTCCTTTGGACGAGCAGTTGGAGGACACTACGTTTACCACGGAGGTTGAGCCCCGTTTACTATTGGAATTACGCCCTCTGGCCAAAGTATGGGCCATTGCGGTTGAACTTCTAGGGCACCCGTGGACCGACCCCGAAACGACAACGGTGGTAACGGAATTATCTGAGCGTCGCTCAGCCGCCAAGGGCAGAAAACGTGAGCGCGACCTGGACCCATCAACTGCAAGGAAACTGGCTCCTATTGACCCTCGCTCTCCTGCACGCGGCTTTTTTCTGGAGGCCACCCCACAACCAGTTCGCGACTCTATTGCCCCTGATAAGGAGGATGCAGTGATGGTGGACACAACAGGTCCATCGGTAATTAGCCCCACGAACAAACCAGTCAACGGCGAGTTTGCTTATTGGTCTGACAACGATGGGTCGGAGTCCGGTGAGTCGGCTCCTGACTTTTCGGCACCATCTAATTCAGACCACCCTCCTACGGAAGTGGTTGTCGGCAATTCACCTGCCCCAGCCCAGCGGGCCAACGACCCCTCGGCAACGGTGCTAGTCGACTCTCACTTGTCCGAACCGTCTCCGCCCAAACCTTCCCAACTACCAGCTCCTCCTTATAATAACTGAAACATTAATCGATTAAATGCTATCTAGCGCATATGATTGCCGGTGGAATAAGCGGTTGTAAAGGTCAAGTACCGTGAAGCAACGAGTCAACAACTAGTTTGAACCATTGGAGACATCTGGTGGACAGAAGTTGCTCTAGTCAGGATCGAGAGGATCCCAACTCTACCTGCGACAAGGCGGGGTGATTTTGGGGCGTTGATTCCCCGAAACGGGGTCAGGGGGCCTGGGCCGGGTGGAAGAAGCGGTGAAGGATACGGCGTTGAGGCGCCAGAGCTCGACCGTAGGCCGTGCGTTCCATTCTAACCAACTTCAGCCACTCTTCCCTATCGACCAACGGCTTGTTCAACACTGTTCGGCGTTTCACAGCGAGCATGCGTTGAACTACCTTGGGGAGGTCAGTTGGGCCCATATCACACTGAGAGTGTATACCGTCGTTCACCAATCGGCTACGTTCGCGTAGCTGTACATTGTCCTCCGAATGTTGCACCGAGTTCCGGTGTTCCCACATATGAAATCCAAGCAAGATCAGCTGATGCGACAGGCGAGAGACCCACAGGGTCGGAGAGCGTTGGCTCCCTCGTGACTGAAGGTACTGTTCCTGTAGGGCCGCCCACTGAACAGACAGCCGGCCTTCCAATAAACCTTGGTAGCCGATGCGTTGTTGGGAGAGGAAAGCGCGGCCGATGCGTTGTTGGGAGAGGAAAGCGCGGCGAAGACGAACCGGGACCAACCGACTGCAAGGAAGGGACGGATCACAAACTCCTTGAAGAAGATGAAGGATAGCGTGTTTGATGGCTGGGTCAGTGACTTGAGTGTCCAACCATTGGTCCAACGTTGCCGTCCGGCGCTCCCATTCCGCACTCGCCGAGGGCGCCATACATCGAGGAACATGAAGGTGGTCCTCGAACTTGCCACAGCAGGGGCACGCCGCTGAGTCTGCGGAACCCCACTGTAATTTGAACTTCCCTACACCACACATCCCCACAACATGCTTTGTGATCCCACGTTGGACACCTGCCGGAAGGGAGCTCATGGCGCGAGCCAGACTGGTCCAATCGGTCTCCAGCTCTGCCTCCGGTGTAATTGTCTGCTGTTCGTGCCATCGTTTGCGTAGAGCAGGCAACGCTACCAGTTCCTGAATATGCTCTGGATTCAATCGCGACTGTTTGACGTCACCCATGTAGAGGGCAGCCAATTCGGTAAAGAAACGAGGGTTGAGTGCAGTCAGTCGGTGTGAAGCTTCAAGCTGGTGGCAATAAGCAACCGCCCACGCATCCACTTCCACATTCCGTTTGGACCACCAAGAGAGGCAGGAAAAGGATGTCGCCTGATCAAGGTGACCTTACACGTGGCTAGGTTCTCACGAGGCCCTGGAGCGGGCAAGTGCCTCCCGAATAGAGGAGACCAGGTCAAACTGGGCTTGTTGCGGTGTGACTCAATTGTCACTAAAGGTGTTAAGCAACGCCAAAAATCCATCGCACACAATCCTGACGCGGGGTGGTGATCAAAGTGTTGGAACCCACTGGTCCAGGAGCCAATCAACAACCATGATACCGGCCAGTAGGTCAGTCAATTCACTCCGGTACGCGCTCTGGTCATCAGGAAGACCCGGAGTCTGGCACCGAACAATAATACGTTCCTTGCCACCCTTACGTGGAAGCAGTTGAACCGCTGCCGTGCCCAGACCGAGCTTATAAGAACCGTCGCTGATCACACACAGCCGGTCTTCGAGTAGGGCTTCAGCAAGGAGGCTTTCGTTGCCATCGATCTCTATTTCTTCAGGGGTCCCGCCAACATACTCGGTCACCCTGGCTGAGGCGGCCATCCAGGCGGCCAGTAAGGACGGTTGAGAGTCGTGGTGCGGCTGCAGCAGTGCTGTCCCAATGCCGGTGAGGGCTAGAGTACCTAGCGAAGGCATGATGTGGACGGTAGCTCGGCACAAGTCAGCTGGGAGTGGTTGAGTCCAAAAGGGGGCCGGCAAGAGGCTTACGCCGTTGTCGGTAGGCGCGTTATGTAGTCGTTTGCACCCAGACAATTGCACAGAACGAGTATAGTCCCATTGAATGCTCCGTGTGGAGGAGCGACGGGGACGGCAGTGTTGCCAACTGTGGCCCTGGCGGTGGAACAATCCTTGGGTAGAAGACCATAACCAGTTCCAGTTGTTGAGAGGATCAAACCATGGGCCCAGAGGATGACGCAGTAGGCGCTGGGGCCCATCAGAGACAAGGAGTGCTCGAGTAAGGTGCTCCTGCCACACCCTCCAGTGGTTCCTATGGGGCCGGACAGTGCGAGGCCATTGATATGAAGAACGATGAGCGTAGTCACGTTCACCATGCCACATTGACTCTCGGATGCTGCGGCCATCGGCCGTCACGATGTCGGAGACAGTGCAAACTTGGAGGAACATAACTACCAGCTCCTCCTTCCGTGAAGAAACAACTCACCTACGTTGCTGCCTCTCAGAAGAAGGCTGCTATTCGGACCAAGTACCTCTCTGAAGAAATGAAGGCTCGAGAATTGACACAGATGAACTTGACCGGGCTCCCTTGTACGAATGCCCAGTTCCTCTGCGCTACAATCAACTATGAATGGGATGACGACACATCTGAGGGTGGATCTATCGAAAAATGTTTCACTGAAGAAAATGGTGGCTGTTCTGTCCATGGCCATGGACAATGCCGAAGGCGACTTAGTGATTTTACCGGTGAGCGAACTTTGAGTGCGAGATAAGAAGCTGTGGCTGACTTCTAAGGAGAAAGTCGAGGAGCTCACCCACAAGAAGCTCAAGCCCTATGTTGATTGGTCCTGGAACAATGGAGCTCGATTTGGATACAACTCCAAGAATCCTGGCCCCAAGACTCTCCGCACCTGTATCCGAGTGGCCCATAACTCTTCATTGGATGACATGTCCCGGCTTCTAGGTCAGTGTTTTGAGATCACTGGCACCCATGCAGGCGTCTTCCGGTCCCTGTTGCAAGTTAGTGATCCGGTCCGAATCGGCTGGCTCCTCAACTACCCTATGGGATCGGCAGAGCGGCACTTGAACGGGAACTCATGCGGCCAAGAAAAGCCAGTCCAAGCAACCTACAGCAAAGCCTACGCCGACTCCTCCAACACCTCCCAAACCGCAACAAAGTCTTCTACCCCACAGCCAGCAACCAACCCTCCTCCCACGTCTTCAGCCCGGGCAAAACTTTCCGCATCTGAACAGGCCCCCACTACTGAGGAGTTCGATCGAAGTGCATGGCTTGCGGCAATGGATGCTGAACTGAACCAGGGCCCAGCCGGTCTCTTCCAAATGATCCTACCAGGTCCGATTGACGGTTTCTACGTGTTTGTGGTGCGCCAAAAGTTTGCCTCAT